TTACATTGGCGGTTATCGATTAACTAAAATGATCGCGATAAATGCTCGGAAGATGTCATTGATATCATATAGATATAGGATTAATATATCTTTTGATAACACTAAAAACATTATTCTGATAAGCAGGGAATCCTCTTATCACGTATCCTCTGAGCAAAAAATCAAATGCGTATATTTATAATATATATTCATCTATAAACATGAAAATACATGAGTTATGAAAAATAAATTCTTCTATAGAAAATTCTATTAGGTGTACAACTTTGCTTCCGCCGTTTTTTTCTGAAATTCGAGGCTTTATTATAAAAAACTGATTATACATTTATGATTCAAAGTATTGTCCATCGCTGGCCACTACTTTCTCCCATCTTTCGGGTAGCGTACGAATCCCGCGTCGAAAAGCTGGTCATTTTTTGAGGCTATCCACGAATCGATCCAATTTTTTACTTCTTCATAAGACCGGAAGTGCTGGTTAGCCAGACCGTGTGTCATTGAAACAAGTGATAATCAGAGGGAGCAACGTCTGGAGAATACGGCGGGTGGGGTAGGATTTCCCATTTCAACGTTTCCAAGTACGTCTTGACCACTTTCGCAATATGGGATCGAGCATTGTCATGCTGCAAAATCACTTTATCGTGTCTCTCGTTGTATTGCGGCCGTTTGTCTTTCAATGCTCGGCTCAAACGCATCAATTGCGTTCGATACCGATCGCCTGTGATTATTTCAGTCGGTTTTAACAGTTCATAATACACTACAGCCGAGCTGGTCCCACCAAATACAGAGCATGACCTTGGACGTCAAAATCACCGTTCTTGAAGCGTTGAAACCACTCACGACACGTTCTTTCACTAATAGCGGCCTCACCATAAGTATTTGAGAGCATTCGATGAGCCTCAGCCGCAGATTTCTTCATATTGAAGCAAAAAATTAAAACCTCCCGCAAATGACGAGAATTTGACTCGTAAACTGACATTTTCAATCGAGAATAACTTTATGATGCAGACACAAATCGACTAATGTTTCTATGGGGTTATGTTGACAGATGCCCAAGTTTATTGTATGACGTCTATGATCTATTTATTTCGACCACTTACCGCTAAAGCCATCTATAGGAAAACGGCGGAAGCAAAGTTGTACATCTAATATTATAACAACTTGAATACTCTTTTGAAATAAGAGGATACACAAGATATTAGCGGCACGTTTAGTTGTTAAAAGAAAATTCGATTTACGTGCTATCGAATGTATATCAGTACATGCAAGATACTCTTCTAGCATCGAAAGGATGCGATCTTAAATTCAGCACCTTATTATAGTACACAAAATTCTTCTACTTTGTACAATATCTTCTTGAGGTCTCATATATATATATATATAATTGTAAAACTTGCAAAATGGTGATTGTAAAACTTGCAAAGAGGATTTTTCAACTTAATTTTTCATGAAGTTTCACATTGTAATATTGTTTTCAAATTTCGGGACACTCTATCTATCTCATATATTAAAAAAAAAGATAGCACATTGCTTACTTTAACACAATTTTATTTTTACTGTCAATTAAATTGGTACTAATGGATATATATTATAAAAGACATTTTATTTAATATTCGCATAATCGCATCATATTTCATTCTTGTTTATCAAATGTTTGCGAATGTTAAATGAAACATCCATTGTCGTGTAAAAAATAGCATTATAAAACTATGCTTTTTATTGTAATTTTTATAAAATATAATTTACAAAACAAAAAATCATAAGTATTTGCATTTATTTAAAGTAATAAACATAGTATATCTATTACAAAAATATTTGACGAGTTAATAGCACGATTTGATTTCAAAAAATTAAATAAAATAATTATATGTATTGCGAGTATTAAACTCAAGTTTACTTTAGATAATATATAATGTAAAATTTTGAATGTAATTCTATTTATATTTTTATACATTGTATGTTACAAAAAATGTTTAAAGAATTAAAATACACACAGATATATAAAATATATCTGTGTACAAGAAAGCACAGACCATATAAAATTATGACTATGATTATGAAATTTTAAAATCTGACAAGAATTAAAAATAAAATCATCTAAAGCTTTAATAACATTATGAATGTAAAAAAGGTCGAAGAAACATAACTTATAAGTAATATAAAAAGTCATCAGCTTTAAAAATTATGCTGATTGAATAAAAATTGAAAAAAAAAAGATTTAAAAAATTTTTTTTATACCAGATAAGCTTAAATCCGCTGTTTTTAGTCAGAAAAACACATTTTTTTTTTCCTAGGAAGCAAAAACAAATTTATTCAAAGTACTTGCCCTCGCTAACTATACATTTTTCCCATCTTTCGGGTAATTTGTGTATACCACGCCAAAAAAATTCCTCATCTTTCGAGGCAAACCATTCATCAAGCCATTTTCGGACGTCTTCATAAGAATCGAAATGCCGCTCAGCGAGCGCGTGACCCATCGACGAAAACAGGTGATAGTCAGAAGGTGCCAGGTCTGGTGAGTAAGCGGGATGGGGTAGCACTTCCCAGTTGAGTATCTCCAAGTAATTTTGGATCATTGTTGACGTGTGCGATGGTACGTTGTCGTGGAGGAAAATCAGCTTGTCATGTTTTTTTCGATAATGCGGCCTTTTTTCACGCAGAGCATGGTGCAATTTGATCAGTTGTTGGTGGTAGCAGTGAGCATTAACAGTTTCACCAGGTTTTAACAGCTCGTAGTAGATGACCCTCTCCTGATCCCACCAAACGCACAGCATCGTCTTCCGTCCGAAGCGATTTGGTCTTGAGGAAGATGTTGATGGTTGGGCGGAATTAACACAAGATTTCTTGCGTTTAGGATTCTGAAAATAGATCCACTTTTCATCGCCTGTCACAATTCGATGCAGGAACGACTTTCTTTTTTGTCTGGCAAGCAGAATTTGGCATGTGTTTTGGCGTCGCTCCATCTGCCTATCATTCAGTTCATGCGGCACCCATTTTCCGATCTTTTGAATCTTCTCCATGGCATGTAACCGCATGGAAATGGCTGCTTGAGAAACACCCAATTGCTCGGCAAGCATTTTTTGCGATTGGGTATCGTCCTCGTCCAAAAGAGCCTGCAATTGACAGTCCTTAATCTTCTTGGGCCGATTTTCACGCTTCTTGTCATTCAGGTCAAAATTGTCGTCATTGAACCGGCGAAACCAATCTCTGCACGTTGTTTCCGATAAAGCATTGTCGCCATAGGCCTCCACAAGCATTCGATGCGATTCGGCAGCCGATTTCTTCAAATTGAAACAGAAAAGCAAAGCTTCCCGCATATGCTTTTTTTCTAGCAAAAAACTAGACATGATTACGAAAGAAAAAATGTATGTGTTGTATGAAATTGCTGATGATGTGCACTAGTTAATGTTGACAGATGTCAAACACAAAAAAGTGTGTTATGTGCCCAGGGTAGCTTTGTATGCTCACTAATGCCACCTATGAGCAAACAGCGGATTTAAGCTTATACATCTGGTAAAAGTAATCTGTGATTTATCGACTGAATAATCTGACGCAGTTTCAAAATTCTTCATACAATATTTCATATTGTTTTAATTAAATAAAGTTTCTAAAATGTATCTGATCTGTGTAAAGACAATTCGTATAAGAATAATCTATTTTTATTGTTTAGAGAATTACAAACTTATTGTAACCTTTTAATCATCTCCATAAGTGCTAAAGCCCATGACAGTATTGCAGATGTATAAAATGCAATTTAGCAGAGTGAGAATCTAAATAAAAATGAATAAATACATTTTTTTACAATTTAATAAAAGGCACGACACATAATTATTTAATACAACATGATTACTTAGACTTAGCAAATATTTTTATCACTTTTTATGATTTTGCTAAAGATTCTCATTAAAAAAAGTTAATCTCAAACTCTTACAGAATCTAATATTGGTCAATACTAAAAGACAGTAATTAATTATTTTATCCAGACAGCATATTTATGATAAATATTCATACATATGTATTATTATTATTTTTTAAAATATTATATAAATATTTGATTATAATATATAATTTATGATAAATATAAATGAATGTTTCAAGTAAATATTTCTTACTTGAATTATAATGTCTTATTAAATATTTTTATAGCATTTACTAGAATATTATACGATAAATATTTCATAATACTTATAATAAATATTTATTATCTGTGCAATTTAAGATTACAAAAATATTTACAAAATATTTAAAAGTCTTACAATTATTTTGTAAATATTACATATATTGTCCGAATAAATATTAAAAACATTATTGTTCAGTACTGTTAATACTTCAAATAAATATTATAATTGTAATTTTTCATCTATCATAATTAAGAACTTTATCTTTTATGAATTATATATACATAATATTGTACTTACGGAAGCTGCTAAAAACTCGTTATATCGTTTAACTACAACATAAGGTTCATGTATTACAATTATTACTGCTATTGAAGCCGCAAATAATAATATAGATGCAATAAAATGATAAAGGAATTCCTGAAAGTTTAAAAGAAATTTTTTAAATAAATCATACTAAACAGCTTTCTGTAATTATTCATACTTTCGATGTTTTGAATAAGTAATACTATAAATTACTTTACTTTTTCATTTTAAACAAAACTAATATTGTAGATTTAATAATTTTTATAAATTACATTTTATAAATCATATAATTTTATTTATATACAAAATTACTTACGTAAATTGTTTTAGGTATAATAGATGCAGCAGAAGGAGATATTAGGTTACTGACATATAGAATAAAAGTGTTAATAAAGAAAGTACATGTTGCGATAAAAAAAAATATAAATACTGATGCTTTATATAAAATTACAAATTCATAACTGAACTCGTTACCAATAATTCCTACGCAAGTCGCACCCAGTATCTGTTGGTACAGAAAATTGAGAAAACTAATTATATATATGAACATTCTATAAATATAGTAATAAATAAAGAATATCAAAATATATTATAAATAATATACAATATATATAATAATATTTAAGAATATTTAAGAATATTTAAGAATATTTAAGAATATTTAAGAAAATTACGAATTATTATCGTAACAACTATATTAAATTCAAATAACAATCAGTAAGCGAAAAATAATACTGTAATTTTATTCTATTATTTCAAATGTCAAGTATAAAATTTCTTTTGTGTCTCTAAATATTTTTTGTAAATTGATTACTTTAAACTAAAAATAATATTGATTTTTTAATTTTTAAATGCTATGTATTTTGTAATTAAACGCAATAAAAATTATTTAGAATTATTTACATTTAAAGTTATCATACATATTTATTGAAAAATTGATGATTAAATTGATGTTGCTTGATAATTAATTTACTATATTATGTTGAAAATTAATATTAAATACTTGAAATTAAAAAAATCATAACAACAATCTCAATAAATGAATAAAACAATGATATATACCATTTGAAGGATCTTAACAATTCCATTCCAACTTTTCAAATAATTAATATTAATGGTTATATTCGGCATCATTGTTCGATTTTAATACCAGTTCTGAAATCAAATTTTTCTTGTCATTATATACATATCAATTTATAAAAATTTTCTTATTGTACATGTTGGCTGCAATAGCCAATCTTTTCTTTCAGTGTAGCCAATTAAAAATGCTATGCCATATTTTACAATCTAATTTGTTCCAGCAGCCAATCTTTTCTTTCAGTATAAATAAAAATATTGAATAAATTAAAGTCGAAATGCGGAAATTTATAATAACGACAATTTTCATCGAAAAGTTACACAGCTTCTTGAAAAGCTGTATTTGTATATTTAGCCGCAAAAATTTCATATACTTATTCCTTTTTTGCTTAATAACTTTATATTTTTTATTTAATATTATACATAAGCATATTTAATATTATACATATCATATAAACATCCGCGTCATATAAGCAATTATATATACATATAAATACATATATGTATAAATATTGTATACAAATATAATAATTGTATTTTTAATAATTATTCATAACATTAAAAGATTTTATCAATGAGCCACATGTAATGTAATAACTTAAATTTTATAAATAGACACAATAAGATACAATATTTTATTTGATTCAATGAAATAATATAAAACAATTTAAATTTTGCAATATTTTAGTCATATTAAATTCTATAATTTAAATCTGTTTATTAATTAATAATCTTAAAAATTTTTATTAACTTATATGAATTAAAAAAAACACTTTTTACAATTAGAGTACTTTTACAATTCTGTGGAAATCAAATATTACATAATAATTATAAAAATATTACATTATTTATGTAAAAGTTTTTTAATAACGTAAATAATAACTTATCTAAATTCAACATAATTTATTTAATACGAAAATATTAAAAATATAATTTTTCATTGCAAACAAATTTTCATTTAATATCACATTAATAATGAACAAGAAGGGATTTATAATTTTAAGATATGATATCTGTTTTGATTTGTAATCTAACATGATAAGAAGTATAAAGGATTAAATATTTTACATATTGCTTCCATCGACAGTTATAACTTTATTATTTAAAAATTTTTGACACAAAATATATAAAAATAAAATACACTATTGCAATTTTTATGTAAAATAACAATAATAACGATCCACTTTTGTTAAATGTGTAATACTAATAAATGTATTCATTATTTTGTGTAAAAAATATTTTGTGTGACAACTGTGATTTACATTATACAAATATTGATTTGAGAAGATTTAGTATGTAGTAAAAAATGTATCTTTCTGTATCCTCCTAAAATATTATGCATGTAGTTTCACAATCTCGAAGTAGTTTCAAAATTTGTATGTGAGTTTGCCAAAGGAATTTTATGAACTTATTGGATTGTCCGGAAAATTTGTGCCGACTAACGTATATAATTTAATAAATGTATACTAAAATTTAAATCTTCTGCGTTTCAATTTTCCTTGAACATCGGCACGATGTTGGCAACTTTCCGGACAATCCAATACATAAAAATGAAACGTGATAGATAACTATAAATGATTATCAAGATAAAATTATGATACAAAAATATACAATTACAAAAACAAAATCACGAAAAGCAAATGGAGCGTCATTTATAATCATTGGTTCTTTTACGCGACTTTTTTATGCGACGTACGTGTAAAATGCGAAAATTTAATATTGCAATAACTGATTAATTCCAAGTAATATTATCTATTATTATGTTCAATAAATTCTTGTTCAATGTCAACTTGTTTTTTGCACTTGAAAAAATTGTCACCAATTATATTTTGTAATATTATTATATATTATTACATATTATTATATCAACTTTTTTAGTTAAATTATATAGATTATTATACTAAATAAAATTATATATTTGTCATTAATTTATTGAGGAATTGGAAAAACGAAAGTAAATTATGCGAAACTAACAGCAATCTAATTAATAAATGTAATATAAAAGATATATTGTTCACACATAAAATATATTAATTTTTCGTATTCTACAATTAAAAATTAAAATAATAAAATGAAAAATAATTTAATAATTAACAATAAAAAATAGTTTCTAAACTACCTTGACAATACCAGAAAATTTAATATGATTTTAAAACATCTTTATAGAAACTCTCACTACAATTATTAGTTAATTATTATAATTTTCACATTCTTAATTTAATAAAATTTTCTATTCTTCTTTATTAAGTATTCTTAATAAAATAATTGCATACACATTAATCTAACAAATAGTAATTAATTAAAATGTATGTTGAGTAAGTAAAGGTAAGTATAGTCTACATATGAGAATTACACTAACCTAAGGAAAGTACGTCGTTTTACATCAGCTATTAACGAATGACTGACATTATATAATTTATGAGTGCAAAAGATATCATCATAGATAAGATTGATATAATTACATGGTATAATAATATGTATTTTAGTAAGGATTTCTTAGAACACGGGCACAGTTATTGGTTATTTAAGATTAAAGTAATTTTTTTTTATATCAATTCGTAACGATCAGACATTTTAATTTTGTTAATGTCAATATAGGTAGATAGTAAATAATAAAAAAAATTGTTATATTATATTATTTTATTAAATCGATTGTAAATTAAAAAAATATTTAAAATGTTTACGTACAAAAGTTATATATAAATTGAGTCTATAGATTATTTTATAATATGAAATTTCTTTAATTTTTTTAATTATTACAAAATTATTTTTATATCTATAATATTAAAATAAATATTATTTAACTTACATATTACAATAAACATAATATAATAAGAATAAATATCATAATTTCAAAGAATTATTAAAAAAGATTAGAGATTTGCAAACGCTTCATTGCTTTTGTTTTCCTTGATGATCTTAAAGTTATCTGTTTTTACCAACTGTGTGTAATAATCTTTGTGCAACAATTACTTTTTTCCCAGAAGTATCAAAGAGTTTGAGAGTTACCGCTGTATCATGATCCGTTGCCAATGCCAACGTTTCGTAAATGTCCTTGCTGTTTGCTTCATTAGAACGAAAAACGTACCGATATTGAGCAGACTGCTCCTCTGAAGGATTCTCTTCTGTTAAGACGAAGGAAGAAGGAGAAGAACAAAGTTATTTAACTCAAAAATGGAATAAATGCTCAGTTAAATTAATTTTTCTAAAATGAGAAAAAATGAAATTGTTGTTTAACTTACGATCTCTATATAATATTAAAGTTTTAAATTATTGATTGCAGATGTGGAATTGAAGGTAAGTACAATTATATTTAAAAACAATTTAAAATATATTAAATGGTATGTTTTAGGTCGAAAAATGTCGATTTTTTTTCGACATTTTTTTTTTATCAAATCCAAAAATCTGAAAAAAATATCAAATACAATATGTAATATAATTGAGCTGCTAAATTATTTTAGAAGTGATCAAATATTCAAATCATATATAGAATTACGATTTTGAAAATTCTTTTAATAATTTTTTAAGAACAGAATTTTGAGTCAAGAATGACAAAAAAGTTCTTACTGTATAATCTTTTTGATACTCTTTATACAGCCATGATTTTTTTTTATAACAGTCGGTTTAGATTTAGCGAAGAAAAAATACTAATAAAAAATTACATTATTTTCGATATCTCGAAATGATGTGGCTCTTTTAGGATAAAACTTTGTCCAAAATATTCTTTTATCTGGGTATTCATTTTGCCCTCTGTAGCGATCAATCGATACGCGAGACGCGAAATCCTCTCTTTACGCTACTATATCCTTTGACTACAAATTAAAAACCTGTCATACTGATGAAAAACAGCTATATATTATATATGAGCATGTGCTGTCACATTCTCTGTTATAATTTATCAATTATATATAGCAGAGACATGCTTTATTGATATTGTAGAAGAAGATTAGATGACAAGAGTTCGGCGAAGAATGAGATAAGAGAAATTGAATTTTATATACAGATACAGTGTAAAGTTCAATAATAAGATATAAAATATGTATTTAATAATACAAATGATATCTGATTTAATCTAACATAAATAATATTTAATAAATATTTTGAAATATATAAT